ACTCCTTCTGGAGTCAAAGTCTGTCAGCCATTGTTTGTTTCCAGTTAAATGATTTGAGCAGCCAGTGTCCATATACCACCAATCTTCTGAGCATTTTCCATCAGAGTCAGAGGCCATTAGCAGTACAGGTTCATCATCAGAGTTTCTCTTAGCCATATATGCTTCTTCTGATTTCCTATCCCTGTTTGACCTACAATCTCTGGCAAAATGGCCCAATTGTTTACAGGAGTAACATTGAACCTTCCTTTTGTCATACCTCTCTTTTCCTTTATGATACTTCTTATCATCAGAAGTTAAGGATTCTGACTTTTGGAATCTATCACCACGTCTATTCTGCTTCTGGTCTTTCTTAACAAAAGAAGCCTTCAGAGCTTGCTCAGCTTCTCTCTCAGAAGTTCTTTCAGACAGACGTAACTCCTTTGCTTCTAAGCTGCTTTGTAATTCGTCTATTTTCATGGTTTCCAGATCTTTAGAATGTTCAATAGAAACAACAATGTAATCAAACTGAGGAGTGAGCGACCTCAGAATCTTCTCTATGATTATCTGTTCAGTCAGAGTTTCTCCACACGCCTTCATCTCGTTAGTGATCAGAATCACTCTGGAGATATATTCAGAAACTTTCTCACTGCTCTTCATGTTCAGGTTCTCATATTGCTTTCGTAGGGATTGAAGCTTCACCTTCTTTACTGATGCGTCACCACCGTAACATCTCGTCAGTAAATCCCACGCCCCTTTAGACGTTGTTGAATCAGCAATCTTCTCGAACACATTTTCATCCACACACTGATGGATATAGAATAGAGCTTTCTGGTCCCTCTTTCTCATCAACCTCTCAGCAGTTCTCTGTTCTTCAGTTGCATCTACTGCAGCTGGTACATAATCATCTGTAACCAGATCCAGAACATCTTGTGCATCGAACAATACACGCATTTGTATCATCCATCTGTTCCAGTTTTTGCCATTAAAAACTGGAAGTTTAGTGTTCAAACTACCGTCTCCACTCATTTTAAACCTTGCACGGATTTTCAGATCTTAAACACACTGTTTCCCAACCCACAGAATCAAAATTCTGTTCAGAATTTTGTTCAAGATTTCAACAGAAAATCAAAGAACAAAACTCAAACACACAGCTCACAACCACTCGTGTTTCCCAGGAAAAACAGAACCAAAAGCTCTAGATACCAATTTGTTGGTGCAAGGTAATGGAAGGAGAGATAAAGAATGAACAATGAATGATAACAAAGAGGACTACTTCTTCCTATTCAAATAGAGGAATGAATTTGGGGATACAATATTGATAGCCTAGGTAGCATATTTATACTAGAAATTGAAAATGCCAAAAGGCCCTAATAAAGAGTAAGTATTGGGAATTGTGGACATTAAATAAATTATATTTCCAATAATAACTACCACTAAATAAATGGGTAACGATCATTAGAGAGAATAATTATACCGGATATTACATATGAAATTAATTGGAATATGATCAAAATAATAAAATTAAAATTTATACAAAAAAGTATGGACATGAAATTGATTTGAATTGAATAGATGTAAGAAAAAATATGAAACCTTACCGTATTAGATAAAAATAGAAAAATCAATTCTCTTTTTAAATCGGTGTTGAATAATTCACTCATTCATCTCATACTTTGTCAAGTTCTAAAACATCTGTGTGATGAAGAAAAGAGAGGAATTTATCTATTTAAGGAAGAAAGTGGGACAAATTGATCATTTAAGAATAATAAAAAGATATTATGTTATGTTTCCAATACTATCTATTGTTAGTCATTTTTGATAATTTTGATAAGGAAGGTTTAAAAAATGATCGTGTGTGATGAAATGACTAAATATGTATTTATAAAGAATAATAAAAATATTAATATAAATATAAATTAATGTATATATGGGAGTTACAAAATATTTATGAATATATTAATTTATATTTATATTATATTAATTTATATGAATTGATTAATGAGTGGGTGAATTTAAAAAAATATATAGAGATATGAATGAGTTTGGTTTAAAAGAAATTATAAGATTTGATAAATGGAATAACTAATGGAATTATATCAGAGTTATAAAATTAATTAATGGAATAGAATATTTATATTTGCATGTAATTAGGTTTAATTACTATGAAAATCATAAATAAGAATTGCTATCATGATTTACGAAAATATTATACAAAATGCTATTATTTTTTACGATTGTATATTAGAATAGTTTATGTTTTACATTTTTCATGTTTTAATTCGAATAAAAAAAATTTGAATTATAAAGTTGATTCTTAAATACCAAGTAATATCTTATGATATTTTAATTAAAACTAATGGAATTATAAAGTAGATTTAACTATGAAATTGATAAATTAATAAGTGAATTTTTTGTCCTAATTATATGTTAAAATACATTTTATATTTGTGATTTATGATTTATATTTATTATTTTTAAAAAGTTAAGTAATTCAAAATCTAAATGAAAATATTAATAATATAGTAATTATTTTTATTTGACTTCTTTTATTTTAAAATTTTAAATTTTTTTGTGCTGTTGTAATTATTAATGGATTTATTTTTTATTTTATATATTATTATTGTAGTGTATTATTTATATTTTTAGAAATTATTAAAATTAATTTTTTTTTTATTTTTTTAATTAAAGTTAAAAGAATGAAGAATTTTATAAATAAAATATAATATATCAAAAATACCCTTTATAGATAAAATACTCTTTATTATTATAAGTTGATTATGGATATATTAATTTATATTTATATCGATTAATTTATATGAATTGATTAATGAGTGGGTGAAGAATTTGAAAAAAAATATAGAGATATGAATGTGTTTGCTTTAAAAGAAATTATAAAATTAGATAAATGAAATAATTAATGAAATTATATAGGAGTTATAAAATTAATGGAATTAGATATTTATATTTGCAGTTATGTGTAAAATTTGATAAGTATGAAAATCATAAATAAGAATAATTTATGTTTCATATTTTTCATTGTTTTAAGTAATTTAAAATTTAAATGAAAATATAAATGATATAATAAATAAAAAAATTTCATGTTTCATATTTTTATTAAATCTAAAGATGTCACATAAAAATTAAGGTTTCTATATAATGCTACATAAAATTTAGGTTTAGGATTGTGTTTAAAGTTATCATCATGACATTAAATTAAGTAGATACAAATAGGTGTTCATATGTTACTAACAAATAAGTGTTACATGCCTATTTAATTAAATTATATGTAGATATTTGTGAAAATATTTTAGAAATTAATTCATAAGAGTGATACTTTCGTGTGATTTAATTGAATGCATGTCTAGAATATTTTTTACACTCTCATAATTATTAATCTCATTTTCAAAACTAACCTTAAAAGTTTTGTTTTACTAAATTATTTGATTGGGTATAATTTTAATTTTTTTAATGATATTTGTAAATTTGTTGACGTCAATCATGACTGATTTAATTGTATGGATATAGGGCATGTTTGTCTTATCTGATTTTTTTTATTTTCAAAAAATAGTTTTTATATAGATTTTTTTGAAAATATTAAAAGTTTTTTAAATTTGTTTTTATAAATTGAATGACAAATTTTTACATTTTAAAATATTAATATACAATTGTTGAAGATTTAAATATGGTAGAAATCTCATTTATTTATAGAGTTATATTTTAAAAAATAAATTGTTTGAAAATTAAGTGATTTTTTAAAATTTTGATATTTAAAAAAAGTATAGTAAAATTATAAAATGTCTAAAATAATATTGTAAGAATTACTACTCAAACTAATTTGAAATTTGAAATTTTTATAAAATATTCTCTATAAAAAAATTTTAAATAAAAAAATATAATAGTGTAAAAATTATTTTAAAAAAACTCAAACAAATAGATAATTTAATTGATTGTATTGATGTCAATTAATGTTTTGCACAATGTTTTAAAAATCAAATTGAATTGATCTATTGAATCGGTTCAATCTTGAATCGTTGTCTAATCTGATTCGATTTGAATCAATAAACGGTTAGGTTTGTAAAATTAAGATAAAATTATTTCAATCGCGAAAACTAAAATAGTCGTAAAATTGAGACCGATTTTAGTAAATGAGACAGTTTAAAAAATCAAATTGTTTTATGTGTTATTTCATTTTATTTCTGTTTAAATTTAAAAAATTAGTTATATCAAACATTTAAAATTTTATAGATAGAAAATAATGAATAAAATTGAAAGACTATAAGATAACGTAAATGCAAATAGAAAAAGAAGAAATAATGTAATGTTTGTGATGTTGGTCTTGAAAGAGAAATGAAAAATTAAACTGATATTATTAGTATCATATTTATTTGACGATTTTATTTTAAGAATTATAATATAAATTAATTTTATTAGAATGTTTAATAATATATTTATTTATTTTATTAATTTAATTTAATATACGGTTCAATCACGATTTAATCGATTGAATCATTTGAACTTTAATCTGCATATTTCAACCATTCTTTCTAGGATTCGGTTTTTAAAACATTAATTTTGTGACTTTATTATTGATTTTATTGATGCCAATCTAATATTTTTTATGCCAATTTAAAAATTCAAACCTAAAAGATAAGTTGAAACCATCAAAGTGTGTGGACCCGTTGAACTTTCGTAGAACACCGAACTTGACTTCCTCATTCATCGCACTTTCCACTTAATACTGATTAGTTGAATGCAAAAACCACACGCATATTCTACTGAATTGTAAGAAACACATTAATAACGTTCTCGACTATTAGTCACTAAATAAACAAATAACGTTCCCACTTTCCAAGCAATATCTTCTGTGTTTACTCTCGATATAAAACAGCCCAATCTCTTCTCATCTCATAACATCACAAAGTATTGACTTGCATAGCTTTCTTTCTTTCTCTGCTTCTTAGCTTAGTTTGAATTCAACCTCAAAATCAATACTTCAAGATCAAGTGTTCAACAAATTCAATATGAGCAAGCTGAAGGATGAATCAATCATCATCCGCGAAGTCTGGGCATCCAATTTAGAGTATGAATTCAGTCTCATCCGCCAAGTTATCCATCAATACTCTTTCATCTCACTAGACACTGAATTTCCTGGCGTGATTCATTTACCCAAAATCGACCGCCGCTATGTTACACCCTCTGAACACTACCGATATTTGAAGGCTAACGTTGATGCTCTTAATCTCATTCAAGTTGGTCTCACCCTTTCCGACGCACATGGAAACCTTCCGAACTTTGGAGGCAGTAACTGCTACTTATGGGAATTTAATTTCTGTGATTTTGACATCAATAATGATCTTTATAATCAAGATTCTATTGACATGCTCCGCCGTCAAGGAATTGACTTTGATCGCAACTTCTCTCACGGTGTGGATTCTTTGTCTTTTGCTAAATTAATGTTCTCTTCTGTACTTCTGTTTCACAAATCAATTGTTTGGGTCACATTTAGCAGCGCTTATGATTTCGGATACTTGGTGAAGATCTTGACTAGAAAGAACTTACCAAACCGTTTAGAGGATTTTTTAAATGTGATAGAAGCTTTGTTTGGAAAAAATGTGTATGATATGAAACACATGATGAAGTTCTGTCATGCTTTATATGGTGGTCTTGAGCGAGTAGCTACTATCCTTAATGTGAGTCGGGCGGCTGGAAAATCTCATCAAGCTGGATCTGATAGTTTGTTGACATGGCATGTATTCAAGAAAATGATAGATACTTGTTTTGTCAATAACATGGCTCAAAAGCATGCTGGAGTGCTATTTGGGTTAGAGATGATTGCAGTAAAGTGAAATAGAATACAAAACAATTGTAACTAAAACTAAAACTGAAATATATAAAATATTCATTCTTTGATTATTTAATAATGGTTTACTGCTAGAAAACCGTGTCATTAAGTTAAATCATATCAGTATTTGTAAATTAAGAATCCATATTTCTCCAAATACTTTTGTATGAGTAAAAACTATGACTAACTGGCATAGGCAAAATCAACTTTTGCAGATCCTTACTTAATAAATACTGTATTAGGACCTGCACTTGGCCTTCATTGAATCCAAAAGCAGCTTTTGAAGCAGAAAAATGTGTATTATTTTCTTTATCAATTCTAGAAAAAACTTGGCTAAATGGAAACAGATAATTCTTCTTGGTGGCTTTCAACCGTCTAAAAGAGATCTCAGCCATGTTTGTGAAATGATACACCTTGGGGTAATTAAATATGACTCGGTAATTGTTGATTTAATCAAATTTACCTCATTGTCTTGAAATCTCTGCTTGAGTCACGATAATGATCAGTACTGTGATTTTTCATAAGTTTGTGAATTGTTTTTATTCGAATGTAAATAAACAGAGTGTTAAGTTTGCCTCATTGGTAATGTTTCTCTCTAGTCTGATTTGTATTTGTATGTGTTTCAATAATTGATATTAAATTATGCTTCATTGTAAAGGTACGAAATTAGAAGTGACTTGGTTCGACGGAGCAGACAATTTTAGTTTATGTCAAAGAACGGTTAAGGATCTGTTGTCTCAGTAAGGTTTACAAAAGGTGCTTTGTGATGAGAAATCGACATACTGATGAGAAATTAAGACATAGAATAATACACCGCGGATATAAAATTCCATACACTTGAAGGAACCTTGAGGATCAACAACAAATATAAAACGACAAACCGAACAGATAAAGGCACAAAAGAACACTGATATTTTTAACGTGAAAAACTCTTCAATATGAGAGTAAAAACCATGAGTCGTTCAGACCAAACAAATAACTTCATTATCATCAATTGAGGTCACAAGAGAGTCTTAAAGTGATTCACAAAATAGTGATAACAACTGCAAATCACAAAGCAAACTAACTTACAAATAAGAATCTAAAAAACTGAAAATTACACAAATATGTAGCTTTATTGCGAAACAATTATCTCTCAACTCAGACTTCGTTTTGAAGATTTCAACGGTCAAAAGTTAGACATAGGTGTTGCAAACCTACCCTCCAAATTTGAGTTTGATCCGATGACTAACGAATCGGGAATCAACGATTTAGTGAGACTGGTGCAGAAAACAGGAATGCGTTTCTCTCCTCTTTTCTCTCTCTTGAATCCTTATTTTCTCTCTATTTCTCTCTATTTCTCTCTATTTCTCTCAACCCTAAATTGAAACTCTCCACTTAAATAAGTGAGACAAATGGGTTATTCATATTTGAGTCTTTCTCCACATAGAAAGGGAGCACAAGTCCAACAAATATCCCCCTCACAGCTATGTGGAGGAAATCGCCAAACCGATGATATCACAACAAGCTTCAAATTTTCCTCTTGGTAATGCTTTAGTCATCATATCAGAACCATTATCATTTGTATGAACTTTAGCTAACTCCAACAACTTAGCATCCAAAATATCACATATCCAATAATATCTCACATCAATGTGTTTGGACCTATTATGAAAAGTTGGATTCTTACCAAGATGAATAGTGCTTTGAATATCAACAAATAACATATATTTATCTTGAACAAAACCAAGCTCCTGTAAAAAATTCTTCAACCATAGTAACTCCTTGCATGCTTTATTAATGACAATGGACTTAGCCTCTATAGTAGACAATGCAACACACTTTTGCAATCTCGACTACCAAGCCACAACTCCCCTTGGAAAATTTAATCATGTAGCCTGAAGTGGACTTTCTGGAATCAATGTCTCTAGCCATATCAGAGTCAGAGTATCCACTAGAGTAGGCTTATCTCCTCCAAAGCAAAGCCTCATACATGTAGTATCGCGAAGATACCTTAAAATCCATTTTAAAATATTCCAATGCTCTCTACCTGGATTTGACAAAAATCTACTGATTGTACCAACATCATGTGCTATATCTGGTCTTGTACACACAATTGCATACATCAAACTACCCACAACAGACGCATAATGAACGTATTTCATATAAAATACTTCGTCTTCACTTAAAGGACTTTGATTAGAACTCAACTTAAAATGAGTAGCAAGAGGAGTGCTTAACTCCTTAGAACTTTCTATTTGGAATCTTTGTATCACTCTTTTGATATAATGTTCTTGTGACATTCAAAGTTTCTTCTTTTTTATGTCACGTATGATTCTAATGCGAAGAATCTATTTAGTTGCTCCCATATCTTTCATGTAAATGAGTCTCTCAATTGCTTCTGTAACTTGTTAATGTTGGAAATATTTTTTCCTACAATAAGTATATCATCAACATATAACAAATGGACAATAAACTCATCGTTAGAAAATTTTCTAACAACAACGCAATGATCTGAAATAGTCTTATGATATCCTTGATCATACATAAGATACTCAAACTTCTTCTACCATTTCCTTGGAGCTTGCTTCAAACCATATAGACTCTTTCTAAATCTACAAACATGATCTTCTTTGCCTTTAACTTGAAAACCATCGGTTGTCTCATGTAGATCTCTTCCTCCAAATCACCATGAAGAAAAGTCGTTTTCACATCCATTTGCTCAACCTCTAAGTCAAGAGTATCAGCTAAACCCAACACGATTTTAATTGATAACATCTTTACAACAGGTGAGAAAATCTAATTAAAATCAACACCCTTTCTTTGACGGAAACCTTTTACCACTAATCTGACTTTATATCTCAGAGACTTAAAGTTACTCTCATGTTTTACTTTATAAATCCACCTATTTTCCAAAGCCCTTTTACCTTTAGACAACTTCACTAAATCATAATTGTGTGTTGTACCCCAATATTTTTCCTCCCATTTTCTTCAAGATACCTCCTCATGCTCCTAGGGTTTTCAGTTGCTCAAGGCTACCCAATGTTTGATCAAACAAATTCTCCTCCTAAGTAGTTGACCTACAACTAGGGTTTCACTTTTCTCAAGGAAATTTGAGCTTACAATGTCTCAAGTTAATTTCATGGTTCCTCGTATGTCTCAAGGAATGCTCATGTCAAATTTCAAGCCTTACATCACAAGTTTGCTCAGTCAATTGCTCAGATGACTAAAACTCAACTGTATTGGATAAAAAGTCAATTGTGGTCAACATACAGTCAAACTTCAAGATTTTTGGTCAACATCAATATTTTGAAGTCACATTCATCATTTGATCAAGGGTTTATCATGATTCATCAAGAAAACTCCCAATTTATAAAAAGTCAAAAGTTACTAAATTAGGGTTTTCTTAAGGAGAAGTCAACTGAACTTTGACCAAACACAACTTTCACATGATTCATCATATTTTTCTCAACCAAATCTTATTGTGAAGGAAATTCAACGCTTTATAACTTTGACTCTCTAAGTTCAAATCCAAAAAATGCTTCATTTCAGAGATATGGGCCAAAACATTATAGGTCCTTTTAAAAGTCAACAAAAAGATACTTTTTATCAAGGCAACTTACATCAAGATAAAGTCTTCATATGTAAAAATTATCTATATAAATATTGTAGAGGATATCTTGAGCTTTCCAAAAAGTCAAAGATGACCTTCATATGATAAAAATTGAGTGAGTTATAATTGGTGCAAGTTGAGCAATTTTGAGAAAATCCATGATACCAAAAGGGATCAAACATGAATTTTTCGGCTAATGGGCTGATATTTCAAGATCCATGCGCGTTATAGGCCTCATTGTGAACCTCAGAAGTTATTTATACACCCCTTGGATTTTTATTCTATTTATTTTTTATTTTATTAATTTAAAATTCCAAATTAAATAATATAAAGTCAAGCTTTCTTACAAGGTCCAAGTCCACAACCTTTTGACCTAATTTCAAGCTCTATATATTCTATGCATTTCAGACAAACATGACACGAAACCCTTGCAACAAGAAGCCTCTCCAAAATTCCAAAAAAATATTTAAAAAAACTAGGGCAAAGTGAAACCCTATCTTGCAGCCTCCCTCAAGGCCAAATAACTGTCCAAATCCTCTCTAGAAGAACTAGAGGGTAAGAATGGATCAGCCTTGAAGATCCAAAAGGCCTGAAACCCTCGTATATGGTTCGCCAGTCTCTAACATTGCATGAATTTGCATTTTTGCTTTTCTTTGTGTTTTAATGCATACTAACCTTGCTAATATGTTTATGAGGTATCAATATGCAGAATGGACTCATTGTGTGAGTCTCATAATGAGTGAACCACGAGCTTCCATCTTTACACAATGTCATGTTATTTTCATCATATCTCTTTTTATAGCGCGTTTTAGCCAAAGTTGATACTTCCATTGAGATTGCAAGGCTTGATTTAGGGGGGTAGGGTCCCTGGGAATTACTAACATCCATTATTTTGAAGGTTGAAAAAATATAATCAGTGGAAAAGACGATCGGAGCTAGGGCTCCAGCGCCTCTCCAGTCCATGCCATAATATTTATTATATAATTATTTTGTTTCATTTATGTTACCAGATGTACAACCACCCTAGTGGCCAGGAAGCACGCGTTAAGGTCTTACTATACTAGGGCGTGGGTTCGATCCATGTCTTTTGATGTTTTGGGAATTTTTTCACATTTTTTCTTATTTTGCAGGTTTTGTTACATAGCACGCTGATTCCATTCTATCATCACAAGCGCGTGCCTGACGCAGTGGTAAATCGTGTGGTTGAGAAAGCTAAGGACGTAGGTTCAACACCCACCTCTGGCATTTGCATTTTTTTAATTTTCTAACCCTTTTCTTTGGTTTCTCTTCTCTTATGAATTTTTGGCAAACTTAATCCTAATTTCACTTAACCCTAAAACAAAACATTTTCTTTCACAAACCCTAATTAAATTAGGTTTTAGGCTTTTAATCAATTTTTAAATTAATCTTTT